ATGCTTACCACGGAATTCTTTAGCTCTTCAGTACAGCCCATGGGAATATTTGTTTCATATTGCTAAAAATTTAATATAAAAATGAATTATTTATTCAGCATAGAATTTTTTATTGGTATATTTTTCTCTGATTTTCATTGTCATTCTGCAGCATATCAGGTGGCAATTTTAAAATGTTTTCTAGCTGAGAATAGCTGAAACATTGATTGTGTTGGAAGGCTGGGAAATGACTAGGAGGGCATTATGGTAAATGTTTCTTTTTATATGATCAGCAGTAAAATAACTTGGGCTTTAGGGTAGAGTCAGTGTGGTGTTAACATGATGGTTTTGCCCTTGTTTTTGAACCATCTTAATGCTTGAAATTTGAAAGCAGTAGTAAATTTTTTCCATAGGTTCAGAGTCTTCCAAAGGAACATGGTTATTTGGTAATTAAAGTAAGAAATATAATAAAATCTTGATATTTAGAAAAAGGGATCTATTTTAATATGGTGGCTGTAAGTGAACCCTGACAGGCAGCTCAGCCTCACACAGCTGCTTGCTCACTCTGCCCCAGTGGGATGGGGGAGAAAATCAGAAGGATAAAATGATGAGAGAACTTGAGGGTTGGCTTATTAATTAATCACCTTCCTGAACTTTGGTGATGCTAGTCAGCTTGTCAAGGCACACGGCTGGAATTCTTGGGCAGGAGCATGGTAGCTGGTAGGTGGATTCCTCTACAGGGTCAACAGAGAAATTACGGTAAGGCATCAGGGAAATAGATTGTAAATTAATGGTCATAAACATTAAGTTTCTTGCAGTTTTTTTGTACAAGGAAAACAGTTCAAATGAGAAGATGGCTACAAGAAGGGGAAAAAAAATAAAAACTTGAAACAGCAGAAGAGAAGGAACCAGGGATTCTGGTAGTTAGCAAAAAGTGACAGTGTTTGTCTGTGTGTAAGTAAATTTGGAAACTTAAGTAGTGACAAAAATGCTTAATACTGGAGGAATCAATACTGAGCTCAATACTCAATATAGAGCTGAGACAAGAGGGATGGAAAAAGGAGGTGAGTGCACATGAGCTTTACAGCCAGCTGCTGCAGCCTGGCTCAGGAGATGATCGATCTGCGGCGACGGTGTTTGGAAGAAGCAGGGTTATGTAGGGTACCAGATGAATTTTATGGCAGCCACGACATCTGGATCTCCAGTGGAACAAAGTTTGTAGCAGAATTCCTGCAGATTGTTTACAGATGATGGATAATTGTTCAGTTTTCCCTCTTTTGAAAAACTTCTTACTGTCACTCTTCTAACTAGTAGATAAGCACAGGTTTTTTTTTAAATATGCAGGGCTAGTTAGCCAGAAATTATTGAGTAACATAGATTGAGAACTGAGATCTGCAGCTCTCTCAAATAAACCTAAAAATTTTTAAAGAGCAATTATGTGATATATTGTGCTTTATGAAATGAACTAATTATTTAAGTGTGCTAATTGCATAGATTTTTGTAAAAAAAAAAAAATTCCTCTTACACTTCAGGTATTTTCTAAACATAAAGAAAATGCCCTGACAAATTTATTTATTTATTTTTAAAGGCTTAACTTACATGTTTACATCTCTTCCATTTCTCTCTGCATCACAGGGTTTTTGTGGGTTTGGGTTTTCATATTTTTGTTTGTTTTTCTTTTGAACCTATGTTTAGTTGAAAGAATATAATGGCTTCACTTGTAAATTCTTACTCCACGCATCTGTGGCTTAATTTACATAAGGTTTTGATAATTAATGTTTACAGTAATCAGCTTTGAAGACTTCAAACCTGGCTGATCATAAGGGGAAAGGTTGTGCTCTGGTTATTGTCTATATTCTTATTTTTGGAAGGCATATTTAATTTATCTTTCCACAAGGCACACTCCATTCAAGTAATGAAAGTACCATACATCATCTTGGGGCTCAGTCTTACTAAGACTACACACACTAACTTTATTGTAAGATATTGCACTAAGGTACCACAAAATTTGGCAAAAGACACTTAAAAAGGCTTTATACCTGCAAACCAGGCAGTAGTACCGAATTACTCTGAAGTCAGAGCACTGGCTACAGTATAAGGGCATAACTAAAATAGAGTTTGGTTTCGTTGGCTTTACAAGACCTAATGTTTTCTGTACCATAAAATTAACATTAATCTCTAATCCAGCATTTCTCAGTCATCTTCATTATTTGATGCCTGAATGTGAATGCATAATTCCACTGTATATCAATTGATAGAGTTGCCTGAGGAGTGCCAACACAATGTGCATAAACTTCATGATCTGATGTTTTATGCTTGGAAGATTCCCCATTTTGGAAGGGAAGCAGCAGCTCACAGTCAGGCTTAGCTCAGGCTGAACTTCAGAACAGTATGAATTGCACAGCACGCTTCTGTATCTGATGCTTCTCCAAGTGATAAGGCTACTCTCTAAGTTTATGTTGGCACAGACAGGAATTGCTTATCACAAATATAAATAAAAAATTAAAAGCCACAAAAACAGATGTGTTGGGTTTTTAAATTGTTTTTTAATGTGATTTTGAAACAATGTATAGAAAATCTGTAGTCGTGGAAAATATAATACCTCTGAGAGAATCCTTTTTCCTGTGAAGTTCTTCGTTCTGAAATGTCATTATATATTGGGGGCTTATATTTATCTTTTCTGGAGAAGATTTACCTTTGCCAGGTTCCTGCTTTTAGCAATGTGTTACTAGAGTGCCTGATAACAGTATCACAGTTAGAGCCATGTGTGCTTGGCAGCATTCTGCCTGTTAAAAGGTAATCATTGACTTTACAGGATAACTAAATGTCAATCCATTCATGTCTTTCAAAATAAGACTCAAAATCAGGATTTTAAATTCAGAGCTGAATTTGGCTCAAAGACAGTTTTTACCAAAGTTTGCTTCAGTGCTTCTGCTTTTATTTAAAAATGCATGATGCTGACTGCTGAATAGTCTTGAGGTTTTTTTATAATACCTGCAATCAAGCCTCGGGGAATTTAGAGGAGGGGTTTAATTTTTCTGGAGATGCTCAGATGAAAAAATATGGAAGGAGCTACATTGGATTATCAGTTAGTTACTCTAATACCTTCTTCTAATCCCAAGACTTGTTACTGCTATCTAGCAAGTAACCCTTCTGAAAGAGCTAGTCAAGTCTACTGCTTTGTCAATCCTAATGAAGTTTAACTTCTCAGCTTTTTGACTGCGTATCTTGTATTAATTAATTAATGTGGATAAATACACCGGAAATACAAATAGCCCATCTTTAAAAAAAAAAACAAGTACAAAACCAGATATGTACAACTAATTGTTTAAAGTTTCTGTGAGTGTTTTATGTAGCCTGTCATATACGTGCCACCCTTTTTTTCCCCTTCACTTAGAAATAAACTGGTGAGGAGAATAATTCCATGATCTTTAAAGCACAGCAGATTAAAGAACATGGGCTTCTTTTTTTGCCTTCATTGTACGAAGAGGGTTTTGTGAAAAACCCTCTTGAATCTGTTGAAGATTAAAGTTGAGACTCCATGTATTATAAGGGCTAACTAACACAGTATATTTATTTAGTGTAGTATAAGGAGGAGGACTGGAAAATGGTCTAGATAGGAGATTCTGAGGGGGTAGAAAACTCACAAAGGAAGTAATAGTAGTCTGTTTTTTCTGAGATTGTTTGCTAGATAAACTTCTAAGAAATGTATTGTAATAAATAGTCCACTGTTAAATGGATCTATTGGCTAGTGCTTACAAATCTCTTCTAGATTCTATCAAAAAATGTTTTAAAAGCTTAGTTGTATTGGGTGATCTGTCTTAATACAACAGTTTCTGGGGTTTTTGTTTTGTTTTTTAAATATATTAATGACTCATTACTTGCATTCATTTTCCTTCTTTGCCTAGCTGTAGAATAACACTTACTTTACTGTAATTTTTTTGGTCCAGCTTTCTCCTATGACAGAAATGAAACAAAAATCTAAGCAGGCCACTGGCTGAGAGAATTAGTTACAAGACAGATCTGGTGGGGTTTTTTTTTCTGGAAAAGAGGACTTGTTGGAAGAGTCTCCAGGGTCAGTGATTAAAACACCATAGTACATTACTTTTGGACAAATTCAGATTGTTAGCTTTCAGGGAGCAGTATATTGAAGTTGCAAATATATTCAGTTCTGTCTGAGTTCATTTTTCAGGCTCATAAAGCTAAGAGCAACCCTGACATGGAATAAAAGAAAAATAAAATAGTTAGGTGCACGTGCTGGGGTTGGGCAGTTTGGTTATATCTGGAATTATAGGGATCTGCAAACTGAGAACTAAACAGGAAAAAATTTGCACCAGAGTCTTTTCACAGATTAATCAAAAAGTAGATTACTGGAACTAAACAGTCACAAACCAAAATATATAATTTAGCTAATTTTTCCCTGCTATTCTAGGGAATCTTCAACTGTATCCCTCACTGCTAACATATGGGATTACTGCTACAGTAACTGATCTCAAATCATCTCTTGACTTAGCAGGAACTTTTTTCAAGCTGTTTAGATCTTGAGTCTTGTCATACAGAAATAGTGGAAAGAAATACATTTAGCGAAATTCTGGGGAAAAACCAAGCCACACCGGGAGGTGCACTAGATCCTTCATAACTTTTTAACTTTTAAAAACTTCTGGTTTGGCCATAGATTTTTCACTTTAGAATTTTGCTGCCTTGTTATGGGTGGAGGATATCTCTAGCACTGAAGAAGAAGATAGCATGTGAATTTTGCCAACAGCTGAAGTTTGTTCTTCAGAGAGGGAATAAAATGTTGCATCACTTGACATCCCACTGTCTTGCATGCTATTCTTGTTCTAAGCCAGGATGGAAAATATTCAAGTCTGTAATTTTACATTTGAGATAATGTTGATGTCTGTTCCAAACTCATGGAGAGTGTGTTTGAGTGCCTAATTATTATTTTATAGTCCTTTTTAATAGCTTATTTCAGTGTTTAGAGATGGACTTTCAGTAGTGTTCTCTCTTGCAATTTGTAGACGATCTGCTGTTGCCCGCATTCAGGAGCTCTTCAGAAGGAGGAAGGAAAGAAAAGAAATGGAAGAATTGGAAACACTGAATATTAGACGTCCTTTAATCAAGATGGTTTATAAAGGTCATCGGAACTCCCGGACAATGGTACAAACTCTTTATTTTGGGAACTTGTCCTGGTTTTGCTACCCAAACCACCACAGAACTGTAGAGATTTTATGGACTGAGTCAGTGTAGCTGCCACATCAGTATGCTTGTGAAAAAAGGATATTGTAATGTATTGTAAGCATTTTTTTCTTGAATATTCAGTTGGAAGCCACATAATTTGCTCTAAATGAAAACTAAAATCAGTGTGACTCATGTCACTATGCTTCCCCCTTTCCTGTGAGGCAAGGGCTGATGGTATTTCCCTTTTAAATTTGTGAAGGAGACAGCTTAGAGAGGTCTTGTTTCCTACACTCTTGAGCAGCCCAGGGATAAAGTTGTCTTGTCAGTGACGTGAATGTTAATTATTTTAATGTGTGTGTGTGTGTGTGTGTGTAATATATATATGTATGGACAGTGAATTAAGGTTATGGAGGCAAATTGAATAGTTCTGGTACTTCCTTACTTTTGAGAACTTAATTTGGCAATCTTACAGGTTTTTTTTAATAAGTATATTTTAAGTGTAATTCTTGCATTGTCAGAAAGCAAAAGATGAGTAGCGCTGTGGAATCTCCATCTCTGGAGATGTTCAAAACTTCCCTGGATGCTTTCCTGTGCAACCTGGTGTAGGGACCCTGCTTTGGCAGGGGGGTTGGACTGGATGATCTCCTGAGGTCCCTTCCAGCCCTTACGATTCTGTGATTGTATTGATGTTTGGTTACACCATTGGCAGGATAGGGATGGTTTTAGGTCCAGCACACAGATCCTTGCAATGTAACCGCTTAAATGATGTCATTGGAGTACTAGGTGTTACCTTTTTTACATGAAACAGACATGAAAGAACAGCAGCAGGGTGTGTAATGGTAGTGGAATGATGAAAGGTGGGATTTCTTGTTTCTCTTTAGCTCTTGAAGGAAAAAAATGCTCATGTGAGCCCACACACCCTTTCTTTTTCTTCAGAATTTGTCTTTTGCCATGTGCCTTCAGTTTTTTCTCTCCTGTCTCTTCCTCACTGTTTTTCCTCCAGCCCATCTTATCTCCTTTTATATATATGCTATTCTTTCTCGATTCCACTTACCTCTAGTCCTGAGTTCCCTTTTTAAAATGTTGGCTTTTAAAAAAACTTCTTCAGTAGAGCATCTGTGTGTAACTAATAAATGGGATAAATTGTGTATGCATACACTAGAAGTGAGTGTGTATATGAGTTTGAAAACAAAATTTTAAAATGTGAATCTAAATTCTGTTAATTTATGTGATGCTAAAACTAGGTTTTTTGAATATTAGAAATGTAAAATCAAGAGTTACATAAGATAATACAAAGGAAGCAGGAGGAAGTCATAATCAGGAATTAAAATATAAAGGTATTTCATATTGGAGATAATTTAGATGTACTTCTAACAGAATAATGAAAAATATATATTAAGGGGAGCTATAAGACAAAAGCTGTCAAAAGACAAATATATTGGAAACGCATCTTTCACGACAGAAACCAGGAAGGCAGTTCTGAATAAGTTCTGAATAAGGAATAAGTTCTCTGGCTTATTTTTAGACATCACAATGACTTTCTTGCACTGACTGCAATCATTGGTACATATTCTATAGATAAAGATCTAGCAAGCCTGAAATTTAAAACTGGAAGTACTCATGCTGGAAATAAAGTACATATTTTTAACAGCAGTAAGGGTTCAGCTTACTCATACGATTCTTTATCATGGTGATTCTTAAATCAAGATAGCTAGGGCAAAGCACAGAGCACAAGACAATGTCTGTCCTTTTCTCCAGTGCATTTTCTGATAAAATGATGCAAAAAGAAAGATAAGGAGGGAGGCACTGTCCTCTTTAGAGCTTTATTATGCTGTGTTACTTGGAAATTAATTCCATAGTAAGATTATGTGTAAATGGTCTCAAACTCAAAATTCTGTCTCTTATTCTGGAGATATTCTTAAATACTAAAAATTAGGAAGTTATTTTATGCTAAACTTCAAAGATTGAACATCATCTGTGTGAAATCTGAAAGCTGCTGCATAGGAAGCTACACAGATTTACACAGGTGTCTCTTTTGCCCAGTGTACGTCAATTTAAAGAGGTCATAAGAGATACTGGCAACTCCTTGAGGTGTGATCTTGTGTCTAGGATTACATTTTTAACTTGCAGACTCTTCTCCAGCACAAACATTGGATTCTTGTGGAGCACTGAGATCACATCTTGTGACTGAGTTTTGATTGTTCTTGAATGTCCCTCCTCCCTCTGCCTAATCTCACCTCGCACCCTGTAGATGATGTAAGACAGAGATGGAGAAAAATACTGCTTCCTAACCTCTTCCTATTTTAAAAACAATGTTATTTTGATGTCCTACTCTGAGTAAAAAGAGAAGTGACCCAGACTAATTGTTTGGCTTTGTTTGGGTTACATCTTTTTAGGAAGGGAGGCCAAGAGAGGCCTTGGTGTGGAAAGATTATTCTACATTTAACAAACCTGATAGTTGCTTCTTGAAAAAAATATTTTAGGCTGGCTTTTTTTGGCTCAGAAATTGAATAAGCCACATTCTTTCAGGCTGTAATCATAAGAATATCATGAATGTAACAGGTGTAGAATAATATCAACATTATATTTCAAGGAAATGGATATCTGATAGTACTGCCACCCTTTCCTGACCTGCAATTTCTCTGTCATTTAAGTGATCGTTTTCACTGTAAGGCTACTCTGTTTCATAGGACAGACTGCTTCAGCTGCCTTCAGTTCCAAAACTCGTGAGATTGCAGATCTGTGAAATACTCAAGGAGTCTGGGTTTTCCCACTGAATTAATAAATACACAATTAATAAATAATACAGCATTTACTACACAAGTAATTATTTGTAAATAAATAATGTTTAAGAAATAAAAATAGTATAGTCTAATATAAATAATAACTATATTAATGCATGCAAAACTATAATGAATATGTATAAATTATTAGCAGGTAATACATTATTTTTGTAATCCTATGGCACTACCATGTTTTGGAGAGAGGGATGGGAACAAAGAGGAGAAAAAGTTCACATTTATCTACTCACTTGTTTCCCAAAGACTTTTTCCAGTCAAGTACAGGTCCAGTTAGCTGTCTTGTCATTGACTGTATCTTCTACTTTCTTTAATTCTCAGAATCAGAGACAAGACAGTGTAGCCATTTTGAGGGGCAGGATGATCACTTCATTAGAAAAGTGTTCACAGCACTGTTATCAAATGCGTATCCAGAACAATGGTGCTAATGAGGCTATGAATATTTACAGAGCTTAAGACAGTAGGTTTAAATACCTACTGAATTCATAGAATCATAGAATTGTTTGGTTGGAAAAGACCTTTGAGATTATTGAGTCCAACCATACCTGTCCACTACTAAACCATATCTAGCACTTCACACAAGGAGAGGGAAAAGATGATATAATAAGCTGTTAGGTCGTACACTAGCCTAGAGCATACTGTTCCCTAAACCCCTCCTTTTCCTTTTACCCAGAGGATGCTGTTCCTCTCTTCATCGCAGGAAGAGAAGGAGCAGAGGTCCCCCTGGTCCAAAGGAAGCCTTCTGTTGGCCTCCCTTAGCGCTGTCGGAGCTTCCTGGAGAAGCTGCCAGAAGGGAACAGCCCACGTGCACTCTTCTGTCTCACTTCACCAGCTGTGAGATGCTGCAACAGACTCTAGAGCTGGGGTGAGAGCTGGCTGGTTTTCTGGAAGCCTTCTCAAGGACCTTGGATCTTTCTGCCATACTGTGCAGTCAGTGGCTCATCCAGCCCCGTTGTGTTCACTCACTAACAGATGTCCACACTTCAACTCACAATGCTGTGTTTGTGAATTTCCTCCCATCTTTTCCGGTTTTAAGAAAATTTCTTGAGTAATTTGTGCATCTTTCAAGTAAAAATTATTACCATGTTATTCTCAGAGTCGTAGAACTTCCTCCTTCCAATCTCCAATCAGAAGTCTTCCTTGAATGTTTTAATTACAGCCAGTTATAATCCAGGGTCAAACTACTATGTTATCAGTAATGTTGGGGAACAATTAGCTGTAGGCCAAAACCAAAGATCTTCCAATTATAATTTTTAATGAGTCATATCATTTATGTTATGTTAGTCTAGTCTGTAAAGTTCAATAAATTCCTTCCATAAATTTAATTCCATGCAAAATAAAATTCCATAAATTGGTCCAAGATATTGGTCCAAGAATGACCTTCAGTGTGAACAGCAGGCCCTCAAACAACTCACTGCCTTTGCAAGATAGTTTTTACCTTGCTCTCTAAATTGGTACACAGCAACATGTGTATTTAAAAAAATAAGAAATAGTTCATTTTTGTAAGGTATTACACATACTCTTTGCTGATAGATTACTATAATAGCTGAAGCTGAAGGGTCTCTTCTACCCAGACGCCTTCCATGTTTAGTGGTTTATAAATCTAATTTTGGCCTGGGACTAATAAGTCTTAGTTTTTATCTGATTGATTATAGAGGGGGGGAGAAAAAATTCCTAAGTTTGATTTTATAACCCCTTTTATCTGTCAGACCCAGTTAATTCCCATCCCCCCAGTTTTCATAAGCTTCTGTCACTTCTTCCTCTGTAAATGGAAAATGCCCACCAGGGATTAGCCTGTCACTCACTTAAATTTATCAAACTCTTCTTAAAAACTGTTTCACACACCCCTGTCTCCAGTATCATTCTCATCACTTTGGAAAGTGACAAACCTGTTGTCATTTATTTCCAAACTGCTCAGTCTGCCCCAGCTTCTCTCCTTTTTCCTGTTAGCAGCCATTTTGTTCTGGAGATCTCTAACCTTCTGAATTTTCTTTTTTTTTTAATCATTATTCTTTAAATGTTTCCTTTAAATTTTCTTAAATGTCGTTCCTGCATTTGTAGAGCTCTTACTTCAGAGGCAGTGTTACTGTGGAAAGGGGAGTATACTCTTTGATGTGCTTTCCAAGTTAGTCTTCCAAAGTAATTGGGGTTTTTTTGTTCTTCCTGCAGATAAAGGAAGCCAATTTTTGGGGATCTAACTTTGTCATGAGTGGATCAGACTGTGGCCATATTTTTATATGGGACCGACATACTGCTGAGCATCTCATGCTGCTGGAAGCTGATAACCATGTGGTGAACTGTCTTCAGCCTCATCCGTTTGACCCAAGTAAGATGATATTCTGCATATTCAGGTTATCTGTAGTAAAGTGTTTTAAAGCTCAGTCTTAAATTCTCTGCTCAATAGAGCATCGTAATGATTAATGAACTGTTGTTCATTTTTTCCCATATAAATTGATAATTCTGCTTTTAATTTTGTCTATTACCAATGAACTTGGGCCGTTAAAACCCTCCTTACTCAATAACATCTTGGAATGAAAACTTTACTGACATAGTATTTATAGAAAGTTAAGATGTAGTAAGAAGAATCTCTGTTTCTTGCTCCCCTTAATACATTAAATGTTTTCCATGACACTAACGAGGGAAATACAGGGTCACTGAAATGCCAGCAACATTTTGGGAATTGCTGTTGGAAGGTGGTCTTTATTTGACTTTATTTAAAAAAATCAGTGAAGTGGGGGTGTCAGTCTCACTGGCTTTGTGAAATTAGAAGAATGAATAAAATCCGTAGAAATTCTATTTGTATTTAGGGGAAAATACTTATAGAAAAGATTCAGTCTCACTGGCTTTGTGAAATTAGAAGAACGAATAAAATCCATAGAAATTCTATTAAATTCTATTTGTATTTAGGGGAAAATATTTATAGAAAAGACGGACAAAATTAGTAGAAGGAATCACATGTCGTCTGACATGTGGATGGAAAATCTGAATCATTCTGCAGCTTCTGACACAGTCAAAATAAGTATTTATGTTATTTCTTTTGTCATAGCTTACATGGCTGTGGGGCAACACTCAGCTGTAAATAAATAAGCAAATAAAGTTTTACAGTAATACCAGAAGAGGCTGAGGTTTTTATGGACTGTTTGTGGCAACATGGGATACTGTCCTGCATTGGATAAGCCTTGAACTTTTAAATTCCTAATTGAAATTGTGTTCCTGTAAGTGTTCAGAGTGTGTGGCTAGGTTGGCCACTTGTTTTGGAAGCACTTTTCAAAATGCCATGTAGCTTTACTCTTTTCTTGATTGACTACTACTGTCTCCCTGTCATGCACTGAAAATGTAAAGACGGGGTCATCCTCCCTGTAGGACAGTTAATCTTACACAGTTTTCCAGTTACTGAGATCTTTTATGCAATTTTTATTCCCATAGGTCTTTTTGTGCAGTGATCTAGAGAATGTTCTGCAACTTTTTGTTTTCCATATTTTGACAAGTGTTTATAAGAGCATCCCTTGCTTCTTTATCTTTGAATATCAAATAAATTTACATGAAATACACTGAAATTATCAAATGTCAAAATAGGTTTGAAATTATCTTGCTTCTGTCTTTGTATCTGGGTTTACAAATCCTAAGGCTTTGTTATTAATACATTTACCAGACCATCAGCAGAAATATATTAGTAGTGGCTGGGTTTGTTCTCACTTTCTGCTCCTATCTTACATATATTCTGGTGCCTTTTTTTATTTAAAAAAGGCAGCTCTTGATATTTGTATATGTTTTCTTCATATATATATATATGTGTGTGTGTGTGTGTGTATGTATTTTTTTTTTTTAAATATACAATCTATAGCTCAGCTCTCATATGGTGACAGTAATTACATAGCTGTATGTTCAGCATGGGAACTGACATTTGCAAGTAAATGCTTCATGTGAAGTATTTTTCTTCAGCTTCAGTTAAGTGGAGCAAACACTGGTAAAGGCACAACACGTGTAATTTGTAATTACTTTTACTTACTTCTAGTTCTGGCCTCTTCGGGTATTGATTATGATATAAAAATTTGGTCGCCATTGGAAGAATCCAAGATTTTTAACAGAAAACTTGCAGATGAGGTAAGAACCTTTCCTCCTTTTTCAGTTATGTTTCCAATTCTATAAAAGCCTTTGGTGCAAATTACTGATACAGAATTAACAGAGTTATTTAGTGTTCATCAAATAAGCTACAAATAAAAAGCTGCCCTTAATAACAGCTAACTTTCACATCGTTGGCAGCACACCAGAAGCACTCTGTATTTCAAGATTATATTATATGATCTGATATTATGTACATAAAAGAAGCTTGTAAAGTATGAACAGTGAGATATAAAAAGACAACTGGCAGGAATTAAGAAATGAAGATAGTGCCTGTCTTTAAACAAATTAACTGAAGGAAATACAAGGATGTACAGAAGAACAGGGAGTGCAAAAACCAATTTCATGGAATAAAGGAAACATTGCAAGCTTAATCAGTTAGAAAAGTCTGTATATAAACTTATGCAACACATTGTTTTCATACCCTCAAAGCAATAACAATGTATATAGCAACTGGCCTACAATGATCATATAGTTGACTACTGAACAGTCATATTTTAGTGATTTACATAACATAATTTATTAAAATTTTAGATGCTTTCTGTAAGTAATATATTAGGGCAAATTTGTGGGGTGATTTGGAGTTTTTTGTGCAATGTCTTGGGCAGCAGGTTTATATAGTAGACTGGGTTTTTTAAGTTATTATTTCTCTGTATTAGTGCTATATATATATTTAAAACAAACAGAAGCCTACAGCCCTTAGCCACCATCCCCCTGAAAAAAACCCAAACTGTCCACTTGTGAGTTTTGAACCTTTCCCATCATTTTAACAGTAGTAACACTGAGTGACGTGACATTTCTTTGTATATTGTATGAGAATTTTAATGTCTGATGTAGTTTGGATCCTTTGGGGTTTAGAAATATTGCTAAACATGAATGTGTGCTAGAAGTAATTATTGTACTGATACTTTTGTCACTTAATTTTTAATAATAACAAATTATTTAGAGGTGTAATTATTTTTTTCTTTAATAAAAAATGTAGAACTTCAGAAAATTTGACCGCGGTATGGTTTGTAATTGTACATGTTTTGGGGGTTTTAATTTAATCCCTGTATTGAAATACTTATGTAGAGGACAAGGGACAGGAGATGTTAATAGAAATAAAATAGTTTACTCCATGTTAAGTTTGGCTAGAGTAAGTGTCCAACATATCTAAACTGAATTTCCCATAGAGGGGAAGGTCTGGGGAGAAAGTATTGTGTTTGGGGAAAGTTCAGTATAGATCTAGAACCGTATTTAATACTGAGAGAGGCTGTGACCTTAGTGAATAGGAAAAGGCAACAGGGATGGGAACAAATCTCAGAAGAGAGAAAAAGCCTCAGAAGCAGGCTGGCAAAAGGGTGTTACTGGTGGTGCACTGGAGAAACAGGAGGTGAAAGGGGAAAAAATGGCAGCCTGCTGTCTTCTCAGTGTGCTCCTTTGAGGGAGTGATCAGCTGTGCACAGTGCCTGGTAAATAGATGAGGATAACAGAAAAGAGGTGTTTTGATTTGGCTAGGAGAAGGCCAGTGCAGACATTTGCAAGAACACGTTCTTCACAAGAGGACCAGGCTTGAGAAGCAGTCTCAGGGAGAAGCAATGCATTATTTTCCTACCTTATAGCAGCTGATCTGGGAGGAAGAACTGAATAACGGTCAGCACTTGTCTCCACCTAAAGAAATGTTTATGCTTAGTGATAACAAAACAACATAGTCCCAAAGTGGAGACAAGCTAAGGTGTGGGATTAGAACTCAGTGGCACAGCAAGAAGGATGGCAAGGAAGTACCATGAGGAAGGAAGGAGACAGAAGAGCTAAAAGTATTTGTTAGTGCTTTTTTTTTTCCCTGAAACTAAGACAGTAGGAGCTGGCTCTTTCAAGTCATTTAGAGGCAAGCTGTAGATCTGTTGAAAAAGAATTACAGAGCTGAAGAATGTTCCGGAACTGGGATAGAGTAATTGCTTGTGTTCCTTGGATTTTCTCCAAAAGTTTCAAGCAGCATGAAGGTAGGAGTTTAGGGTAACCTCATCGCTTTTCCTTCCCACATTCTTGGCCAGCGCTAGTGCTAGAACTTTCTTTACAACGGTTGCCATCTGTAACAGCGTTTTCTCTCATCAGTCCTCCTTATTTTATGCAAGATCTCATTTCCAGAAGTTTTTCCTCAGTTGATCATATTAATATTTACCATGCACGTGGACAACAAAATGATAATCTTACTAGAATATTCTTTAGGCAAACAATTAGATATCTGTAGGCAGAAGTCCACTGTCTGACTTTTCTTACCACATACGGTTGGTGTAACTATATTTCATAGTAATTATTAAAATGTTGCTCCCTTATTGTAATTTTGGACTCTGGAAATGCCTTTTGCATAAAAACTTGGTATCTACAAACCCATATTGATGCAGTACAAATTTATGTTTATTTTTATGCTGTTATTTCCCCTTCTCTGCCTCCAGGTTATAACACGTAATGAATTAATGCTGGAAGAGACCAGAAACACTATTACTGTTCCAGCTTCTTTTATGTTACGAATGTTGGCTTCATTGAATCATATAAGAGCAGGTGAGAGACTTCTGAAGAGCTTGTCCACCACATTAGTCTATAAAATAGCAGATAGATTGGGGAACCATCAAGATCTTCAGCACTCTGTGGCTACACATGGGGTTGCTGAGAAGATTCAAGGGTTGTTCAAGGGTCTCTTAATAGAAAAACTTAGGAATTGCTTCTTTAGTGTGAGACTTACATCATTTTTTTTACTTGTTATTTTTTATATTTATTTTTTTTTTACCTCAAAACAAAGAGCAAGAAAAGAGCAAAATACATTTTCAGATGTTACCATACTATCCATCCTGAAATAGTTTATTTGTAAAGTAGTACTAATTAGATGTTGAAAAAGACTCTCTTCTTTAAGGAATGATCTTTAAGGTGAGTGCTGTGTGATGGGAAAACTATTGGGGATGATGGGGATGAGTCGTAAGATACTGACTGTTGTCGTAGGCTTGGAATTGTCCAGGGATGAAAGAGGATGTGAAGATACAGGACTGTGGGAGATAGTAATGAGGCCACTGGCAGCTGTTCCTGGGGCACCAAGTACTAGGATGTCCATTTAGCAAAGGGGTAGTTCTCTACGGGCTGAAACTGGTGATATATGAGGGGTTGCATGGAGAATTGTCGTTGGGAACTGGTGTTCCTGGATGCTAGTGCTGAAGAAACTGACAGCAGTGGGTTGATACTGAAGAAATAGGACAATGGAGAGACATCATACTGGGTAGGAAGCAAGGAGATAAAGTTTTGGGAGGCTGGTATGACATGTGGGGGAGAAACCTGACAGAACTGTAGCTGAAGGTGAAAGTGACTGTAGATACTGAATTTGGGGACTCTGGCACTGGCTGAGCAGAGCAGAGGGCTTATAGTGCTGGGGTAGGAAGGAAGCTCTGCCGGGCAGCAGCTGCTGCTCCTTTCTCACCTCTCACTGATCTGTGAGAGTTAGAGAGCCAGGAGGAAGCCACTGTATCCAGCCCAGTGGTATGCCTCACCACGGCTGTAACTGAATATATTAGTTTGGGTTCTTTCTTCTTTTGTTACAATTTCTTTGAAGTAAAATACTCCAAGAACTGCACAACAAGTGGTGTAACTCAAGTGAGGTACAAAAATTTCAGCAAAAATCAGTGTTATTGCTGGGTGGAGTGTTTCTTAACCTGAGTGCTCCATGCGTGAGTGATAGATCTTGAGCCAGTCACGTTCCCTCACACATTTCTGTATTTGCCTTTCTCTAAACACTGACATCAAAAGGTATTTTTCTGATGTATACAGTGACAGTGATTCTGCAGTTTTCTGGAGTATACAAGTTCTGGAGTATACAAGTTCCTAACTACAACCATTCTAGTTTTAGCTCCCCAGAACAGTATTTCAATCCCTTGTATTCACCACCTCTTTTTAATATTCTCCTTGCATTCATCTTTCCTGTGCTGACAGCCAGTCAGCAGCTACAAGGTTTCTCCTTTTGTACACAAATTAAACACTTTTATGCCTGGAAATCCTTTAGAGCTTTTCTCTTATTCTCCTTCCTTCTGGTAACATTTCTACCCAATCTTTGCTGTCAGTCCATACAGACTTTCTTTTACCGTCTAACCCACAGCCGCTGTGTGTTGTGTAATAGTACACTATAAATATTTACCCAAACCTGAAAACTTTAGAAGTTCTTTTTACTAAATTTCTGTGTCTTACAGACCGATTGGAAGGTGACAGATCAGAAGGGTCTGGTCAGGAAAATGAAAACGAAGATGAAGAGTAACTGGCAGTTGTGTGCAAGCACCTAGACGGTCATGGAATTTGTATAAGACATTAATTATATTTTTCCTTACAGAGCTTTAGTGCAATTCTAAGGTATTGCTTTTGGATAACCTAACCTTTTGTTTTTGAATGACTGTGTGCATGACTTTGGGAGAGTGTGCAAGTAAAATAAGCAAAAATGTTTTTAAACTGTTTTGCCATGTATGAGGGGTGCTAGAAGATGCAAAGTGCAATATTTTCCTTAACCTGCAGATGTGGGAGCTTGGATCGATGTTTTAAAGTAACTTTCATTATAATAAAAACAATGGTTCAAATAAATTTCTATACCTGCTGTTTGCATGTTTGTTGCTTTCTAATTAAAAGTTTGGTTGTTTAAAGTAGTTTTGTGTTTTTTTCTTTGTGCAACCATTGATTTTTCACCTTGTAGCATTCTTTCTTACAGTGTTTGTGAAGTGATGATTACAGTTATTTCTTACAGTGAGCACTGGGATTCTCTGTGACTTTGAGACCCCATTCTTCTTGGTTCTTGAATTTCCATGGGCGTAACCCACACATACACAAAATTGTCTCTCCATCAGTCTTACTATGGTGCCACTTCACATTCTCCCTGTTTGAATCTGTAGTGCTGGTGAAATAGTTGTGTTTCGCTTAGATCCATGAGTATGTGTTCTTTGCAACAACAGCAGATATATCTTAACTTCCATTGGATTTAGAATAGAGAAAGTGTAGTGCAAAGGAAAATTAATTTAGAAATCCCTGTGTGTTACTTCCTAGGAGTAATTATTTGGGAAAGAGCAGCAGAGTCTGTGTAACAGGCTCTACCCTTCCTCCATACGTTTTTGGATGGCAATGGGGAAGAGGAAGTGCAGGAAGGAAAATGCAGTAGGGAAAAGAGCAGCTTTGCTCGATGGCTCTAATTGCTGAGGATGGCAGATGCTGAAAGGCTTCATTGGGAATTATGGAATGCCAGGAAGAATTCTAAATCAGGTGGATGAGGGTACTGGAGGCTTCATTACCCTCTTATTAAAATATACATTCATCACATAATCTACATCAACAAAAAGAATTCCCCACAGCAACATCTAAATAACATCACAACATTCTGATATCCTTAGTTCATAATGCAGGCAGGCTGAAAGGGCTTGGGGAAGGGATAGAAATCACAGAAATAGAGGGAGATGGGGAAAGGAAAACTATTTGAGGAGATTAAGAGATACTTGTGAGGGAAGAAAAATGGGAATTACATGAAACTCATCAGGCAGTAACAGTGGAGACACTTGGGCAAGGGAAGAATAATGTGTGGGGAGAGGAAAAGTGTGAGGAGATGGATAGGGTGATTGGTTGTTTTTTTAAAAAAAATTCCTATCTTCTGTAGGGTATTACTGAGGAAGAGCAAAGTATAGAAGTTTTGAAAGTGATCCAGTGAAGTGAATTTAGGAAAGGAGAAAATAACAGGAGAGGAGAGAAGGTTTTTGAGGCAGAGAGTGCTGAGAAGAACGGAAGTCTCAGAACACTGGAGCGTTGTGGAAAACAGGAAACTTCACACCTAGAGGAGGTCAGTGCAACAAAGGATGGACATCTGGTAAGCGTTTGAGAACATATCCACCATGAACAAGGGAGAGTAAAAGAAGTCAAGGTAAATCGTTTGTTTTTTTTAAGGTGCAGAGTGAAATTAATGGCTGATACGGTTATTTGTCCTTTCTGGTGACACAAGAAAGACTAAATGTCCTTGTTGGAGAAGGGAGGAAAACATTTTTTCCTCAGGATCTATCATTTTGGGCAAGCATTTTTAGAGCAGCAAGAACTGAAATAATATTTTATGATTTTGTGGTACATCTGTTTGGGGAGGAGGGGGAACACAATGGTCTAGAGCTATTCAAACCTTGCTGGTCATAGCACTGCACTGAGCAACATTTTTACTATCAGATGTAAATTAGCCTTGAATTTTTGGAACAGAACAGTACTTCTCTCATTAGACTTTAAAGAACTATATAGTGAATATGTATAGTGTACTTAGTATATGTATAAAATACTTTAGCAGTAAGAGGAATAAAGCCATGTTTCTGTTCCATGTGGCATCTGTTACAATGATGGACCTCTTCCACAGCTAGGGCTCCTGAGCAGTTCTGAGAGTGAAATACAGTAACAGTGGTCGATGCAGTTGTTAACTCCTGTATAGACGATATCTGAGAGGCATTTGATTCCAAAAAGAATGACCATGGTGTTTCTACAGAAGCCTGACTCTGTAGAAGTTAGTAACTTTTGAAAACAAATTCTTTCTGAGGTAAGTATAAGAGGATACCCTTTATCTTCACTAGAGAGGTTTTATAAATCATCACTGTGGATGTCTTTAAAAATAAAAAAGGTACTTATTCCACTTTTGCTTTAGTCATAGCAATTGCCACCAAAGAGCTTACAATATAAAACAATCTTGTAAATTATTTTTTTCAGAAGTCATCAATAAGCACAGTATTTCCAAAAGGTCTTTTATTTATTCAAAGGCTAAATATTTAATTTTAATTCCAGATGCTTAGCTGTGGGTTTGCTGAGTAAAAAGAGGGTTGAATCTTGATAAGGGCAAAAGTTTAGTATTTTGAATATTTTTTTCAAACTTCAATTAAGCTGTTCAAGCATTTTTTCCAAAGCTAATATATCCATACTGTTTGGGTGTTTGTTAGGTGTTTTTTTTCCATAAACATTTAGTTAATGGGCTGTCTGAATTCCTAGAACCATGCAACAATAGGAGCTGTTGGCAGGAGCAGAGAGGGATGCTGGTAATTCTAGAGTTTGTAGCAGCAAAAGCAAATTTGAAAATGTTATTCAAATGTGCATAGAAGTTAATAAATAATTAATAAACCAACCCACAATCCAAAACCTCACAATTTTAGAAGTAAACCTTGTGATCTGGGTCTGATTTCAGACGTGGGGGTCTTTGGGGTGGGTGATGCTGCAGGAGCTCCCTCTAGTGCCACTATTTGTGCTGCATTTGTAGAAGCGTGTGTCCTGTGTGCAGAAATGAAAAGCGGGGATGTGTACCTCACCCTAATAGAGATGCAAGACTTGAGAATATTCTTCCTTCAAGTAAGCCAGTGAAAGGAAAAGACCAACAAGCAACAGACCATAATACTCCTGATAAGCATCAAGTGACCAGTTGATTTAGCTGACTGCTAAAAGACATACCTAAAATTTTCAGTTTCTAATTACAATAACAACAGCCCAAATTTGATGGACAGGACAGTGAGTGAGAGTAGAGGGAGGACCTTCTTCTCCTGCATTGAGGACTGAAGATTGTACATCTGCTCAAGCTGGTCCTTCTGTCCTGCCACAGCTTGCTGTCAGTGTTTACCTCTGAGGAAAAGCATTTATCCACAGCAAAGATTCAGCTATCATTGAACTCTTCTATGAAGGATATTTCTTAAGTCCACTGCAATAATCACAAGCAACTCTCTTGATGCGTTGCTATGATTCCTGGTAAATAATCTGGTGTCTGGAAGCTTGGGCAGATGGTCACTGCAGGAAGCAATCTCTTGTTTAAATGTCGAAGATGCTGAGCCTGTTCAAACCTCTATCTCCTGAAGTTCTAGTTCTTCATGCCTGCCCCAGAGGAGGTAAGACAAGGTTCATTAATGACGTCTGCATCACTGTCATTGTGAAAGTTTCTTACCTAAGCAGTAGATAAATGTTATGGTAGACTATTGTGTACATCTTAAGCTCTTTCAGAACATCCCAGAGGATGTTTTTGAGGAAGAACTTCCAGAAGTGCATGTTTAATACAGGTTTCACTTTCCTTGCACCAGCAAAATAGCAATTGTTAAAGTGTGTGCGTGCACTTGTGTGTAAGGGATGGGAGCATATGCTCAGAGATGCTGCCTTGGAAAGCTGAGTGGCCGTGTCTACAGAATCATTTCTTTTAATGGAAAGATACCACTGAGCCAGATTCAGTCTCTGAGGCTCAGACCTACTGCAAAGGCCCCTCTTGAATCCCCTGTACTGCACTGTTTCATGGGCCAGACTTGACAGCACTGTTGAAAAATGAGTTAGGTCAAAGCCCATATTCTTCCTGATCCACATTCACGCCCTTACATGAGGCCAACTCTGAAAGCCTCAGCTGAGAGCATGTGTGAGGTCATCTGCCCTGCCTAAATAGAGATTGATTTAGTCTTTGAAACGTGGGGTTAAATCAATTTTAAGCTATTTTCATGAATTACAACATGCTCAAATGCCTTTATGTGTGTAAGCACCCAGTTTGTCTTCTCAGTGACATTCTCTTGAGTCTGAGTTATTTTTTAGGGTAATAGACATTTACTTTCCTAAGTTTTAAATGTTCTTTTCATTATTTGCAATTGCTTTTTTCTTTGGATGAAAAGGAACCATCTACCTTCTCACTACCTTTTAAGAACTTTCTGTCAATGCTCTCCTGTAGATTAATTTCCCTTTGCTAGTAGAGCAAACTGAAGTCCAAAAAACAACTACTACTAGGAGTAGTACTAAAACAAATGAAAAACACAACAAGGTGTTTTGACAGGAAAAATAGGCACGTGCTACTCTTAAAGCAAGTTCCTTTTTTTCTCATTGTGACTTACCATATTACCATGCTTCCCTTTTTTTTGCAGGAGGAGGGCTGTACACTAGTATAATCCATGGAATTTGACAGATTCACTATCCAAGTTGGAACCGATAGCTACTAATTTAGGAAAGTTGTCGCTTAAGTGAAAAACCCTCTAAATGGAATTTTTTAATGGGCTTTGTTACTAATTGGAAAACAAATCTCAGGGGATCTGCAGCTGTTCTCAAACAGCACTGCAGATCTTCCCCTGTGGGGAACTCTGCTCAGGCCCTGTTTCTGGTATTTTTCTCCTTCTTGACCTGCCCTGAGCCCCATACAATCTGTCCCACAGCTACTCTATTTCTCCTGATGAGTAGTGACAGAAGGAGAGCTGGTCAGGAAGATGACGGGGCCCCTCATCCCTTCACAGCCACACCGTGTGTGTCTGCTCCGGCAGCTTGCTGGGTACGTGGGAGTCACTGATGGTGGCAGTTACATGACACCACGCTGAAAATCCATGTGATTGCTCAGAAATTCAGCTTCATTCACAGCACATGCATTTCCCATCACTGCGGTGAATAGATTTGATTGCAATCTGGAGGCTCTAAATTTGGTCTGTTACATGCTCTTATAGAGGAGAACTGGGCAGAAAGATACAGAAATGAGAAACTGAATGAGCTTCATCATTTAATTTGAGAAATTATTTATCTTATCCCTCTTCTTGCATTCTCTTTTGCCTTGGTTGGCTGGCTCTCTGTCAAGCAGTTTGGTGTAGGGACTGAAAAGGTGTGAGACTGTGAGCCCAGGATGCAGGGGTTAGATACACCCCTGGCC